CTTCTCCAATCCCAACCAGCAGCTCTCCCCTTTGCCACCTCCCGAGTGAGCCTTTCCAGCCCCACCCTAGGAACCAAGTCTATCTTACCTGCAGTTTTTCAGAATGACCACTAGAGGGAGCATCTCCCAGCTCTGGTGCTGGAGTGCTYTTCTGCTCTTTCCTCCTCTTCCTCCCATTTCCACATTCCCCTCTACTCACTTTCTGCCTTTTCTGGATCTTTCATCAAAGCTCTCTGCACTAGATTCTCTCATTTTTGAGCCACCATGTTCCTGAGCTTAAGGGTTTCACTGAATATTCGAGAAAGCAAACCAGTTGTAATCATGGAATGGAGAGTGTGACCATGGGGAAAGAAAGCTCTGGAATAAGAAGGACGCAGATGGAACCTTAATTCTGTACTCAAAAATCAATCTGCCACATTGACAGGCTAATGAAGACAAAGAATCATATCAACTGCTGCTGAAAAGCATTCGACCAAGTCCAATACCCACACATGATCAAAACTCTCAAACAACTAGGAACAAAGGGAACTTCCTCAGTGTGGTACATAACATCCACAAGTAACCTGTAGTTAGCAGCATACTCAATGGTGAGACACTGGATACTTTCCCTTAAAATTGGGAGGCTGGCAAGGATGTCCTCTCTTATCAGCTAATGTGATAAAACAAGAAAAATACATAAGAGGCATACAGACTGGGAAGGCAGAAATAAAATTTTCTTTGCTCACAGGCGACTTGACTATCTATTTAGAAAACTCCAAAGAGGCCACAAAGTCTTCTGAAACATACATTTCAAAAAGCAAGCTTCCAAATACAAGGTCAACACACAAAAGTTAATTCCTCCTTATTTAATTTATACATTCAGTACATTCTCATTTTTTTCATATATGTTTCCTCAAATGAGCTATGGGTTCAATCAAAGTCCAACATTCCAAGAGAGATTCTCTTGAAATTTGTTAAGATGATTCTAAAATATGTATAGAGAGTAAAGGATCAATGTTAGCCTGGACACTTCCAAGATAGAAAGCAAGGAAAGTGGCCCCACTCCCAGATATTAGAATTAAATAATTAAGACAGTAAGACACCAACAGACAAACTGACTAATGGGAGAGAATAAAAGCCCAGGCACAGGCCAGGCCTGTGTGGAACTCTGTTCCATGACAGAGGTGGCATACAGTATCATGGGGGAAAGAGGACACGTTCAGCAAGTGGAAATTGAAAAAATGGTTATCCTTAGGTTAAAAGATAAAATTGGAACCTAACTCATACTATGTAAAAATCCAGAGGAATTAAAACTTATATCAAAGCAAAACTTTAAAATTCTTAATGGTATGTAAGAAAAAGTTTCCTGAATCAGACCAAACAATGTCTGTCTAATAAAAGACTAATTATGTTCATCAAATAACACCTTAAAAGAGAAGTTAAATCTGAGATATGGTGCCATAACTGCATAAAAATTTCTTCAAGTTTGTACAAAAAGCACACACACACACACACACACAAACACTGAAAAGAAATAGGCAAAAGTTAGGACCAAACTTTTCACAAAAAAATAAAATACCTATAAAGGAAGAGATGTTCAACATGAGTGATCAGGAAATGCAAAGCAAGATACCATTTCACTCCACATGCGGTGGCACAAACCTATAATCCCAGTGGCTTGGGAGACTGAGGCAGGAGGATCATGAGTTCAAAGCTAGCCTCAGCAATTTAGCAAGGCTCTAAGCAACTTAGCAAAAGCCTGTCTCTAAATAAAATATAAAATGGGGTGGGATATGGCTCAGTGGTTAATCACCCTGGGTTCAATCCCTAGTACCAAAACAACAACAACAAAACCAGTTTATATCCAGCTAAAAACAAGAAGCCTTGGGCTGGAGACGTGGCTCAAGCAGTAACACACTCGCCTGGCATGCGCAGGGTGCTGGGTTTGATCCTCAGAACCACATAAAAATAAAATAAAGATGTTGTGTCCACCGAAAACTAAAAAAAAATAAAATAAATATTTAAAAAATTCTCTCTCTGTCTCTTAAAAACAAACAAACAAACAAACAAGAAGCCTGACTACACCAAGTGTCAGGATATGGACACAAGGGGTTCTCTCATACATGTAAATTGAAGAATGTATATTGGTGTTGGGGCATTTTGGAAAGCAGTTTGGTACTACTCCCCAACCTGAATGTGTACATACCCTTAAACCTAGGAGTCCCTGTGGCTGTGCTGAGATTGATGATGGAAAGATGGAACGACAGAGACTCTGTAAGGAAGCTGGAATCACAGTGTATGAGAGGCTGGCCGTGGAGGTGGAAAGGATATGTAAATCAACAAAAGACTAGAAGAAGAACTTTTAGAAGACGATACCCAAATGGCCAAAAAAATCATATTAATATGTGCTCAAACTTATGAGTTGTTAGGAAAATACTATAAGCACAAGGAAGTACCATTGCACACCCACAAAAATGGAGGACAATGTACAATAACCAGGATTCTCAGATAAGGCATGTGGAAGCATAAATTTGTGTCCCCACTTCAGAAAAGTATCTAGCTTTATGCCACGAGACTCCGCGACTCTATTTCCAAGTATGCGCCAACAGAAAAGTGTAAGAATGTGCATCAGCAGATATGCGTGAGAAAGTGTATAGCAGCACAATTCTTAGGAGCCAGAAACAATGACATCCCAAATACCTATCAGCAGTAAAATGGATAAACTGTGGCGTACTCACCCAACCAAATACTGTACAACGAGAACAAGTGTACAACAGATACTCGAGACACTGAAAATCATAATCATGAGTCAAATAAGCCAGTCTCAAAAAATTATATAGTACATGAGGGAAGTGAGGTGGTGCACGCCTGTAATCCCAGAGGCTCAGGAGGCAGAGGCAGGAGGATCGCAAGTTCAAAGTCAGCCTCAGCAATGGCAAGGCGCTGAGCAACTCAGTGAGACCCTATCTCTAAATAAAATACAAAATAGGGCTGGGGATGTGGATGAGTGCCCCTGAATTCAATACCTGGTACTCCCCCAAAATAAAATAAAATTATGTAGCACATGATTTACTCTTTATAAATTTCAAAATCATAGACAGGATGGTGAGCCTACAGGAGGAGCAGTGACTGGCAGGGACATGAGGTGCTGGTGATGGTCTATCTGTGATCTCAGTCGTGGCAACATGAGGGCGTTTAGTTTATGAAAACACACCATTCTGTATATACTTGTGATCTTTCTGTGTGTCTGATGCTCTCATTTGGACAAGTGTCCTGCAAAGATCCACATGTTGAAAGCTTAGTCCCCACGTGCCATGTTGGTGCCGTTGGCAGGAAATGGAAACTTTAAGAGGTGGGGCCTGGTAGAAGGTCTTTAGACTATTGGGGGCAAACTCTTGAAAGGGACTGTGGGACTCTACCCACTTTCTCTTCTTCTTTTTTGCTTCCAGGTCGTGAGGTACATGGTTTTGCTCTGCTCTATGCCTCCTGCCATGATGTACTACTGCCTTACCACATGCCAAAAAGAAAAGGAGCCAATCAATAATGAACTTGAACCTCCCACACTGTAAACCAAAATAAACCTCTTATCTTTATAAGTTTATTAATTTCAGATATTTTGTTACAATTACAGAAAGCTGACAAACACTGTTTCTATGTAAAAGGAGAGATTTAGAGAAACCAACAGGACATGGTGAGTGATAGACATGGATGGAGAGGAACAGAAAGAATCTAATGTGATTCTGATTTTGGCAACTGGGCAAATGGAGTTACCCCGCCACCTCCTTTTTTTATACCAAGGATTGAACCCAGGGGCACTTACCCACATCCCCCACATCCCCAGCCCTTTTTATATTTTATTTAGAGAGAGGGTCTTGCTGAGTTGCTTAGGGCCTCACTGAGTTGCTGAGGCTGGCTTTGAACTTGCAATCCTCCTGCCTTCGGATTCTCGAGCCACTGGGATACCGGGCATATGCCATGACACCAGGCTACTGAAGTTACCCTTTACTGGAATGAGAAGGAGAAGAGGAAGAGCTGGTATGGGCAAAGGTGGGAATTGAGTTCAGCTTTAGACATGTGATGATAGAGGTAACTAGGCATTCAAGCAAAGATGTCAAATAGCCACTTAGATTTTCAAGTTTAGAAGCTCAGGGAGAAGTCAGCGCTAGAGATGCAGGTTTGGAAGTTCCTCCTGTGTAAACTACACAGTGAGAACCTGGATGCAATCTCCAAGAGAGTGAATGTGGAAAGCAGGGAGAAGGCCCAAAGGCGGAGGATATGGGGAAGCTCAAATATTTAATCTGATAAAGGATGACAGTCACCAGGACACCAGAAGGAGCAGACAGCGAGCTACGAAGAAAACCAGGAGAGCGTGGTGTCCCTAGGCCAAGTGGTGTGCAGGAAGAAGGAACATCAGCCATGTCCAAGGCTGTTCCTAGGCCAGGATGAGGTCTGGGCAACGTGGAGGTCAAGGGCAGTTTTGTGGAATGTTGGTCTCTAAAGTGTGGAGTAGGAGGAGACAGATGGGAGGTGAAGGTGGCAAGCAGGGAGCACAGTCATTCTAAGAGTTTTACTTTCTGGGTGAGCAGAGAAGTGGCGCAGGAGGTGGTGGGGTYGGGGCCTTCAGATGGGAACTATTGCAGATGTTCTTGGAGGGGGAGCGATGGACACGGCAAGAAAGGGGAGATGGAGAGATGGAACTAAGTACTGACCAGGAGGAAGGGGAGGGGATGACATGACACTTGGGACTTCACCGGCCAAGTGGCAGGAAGAGCAAGATTCAACCAGTCACAGAGGTGGCCTGTCAGATAAGGCCTTGCCTAAGGCGGTGATAAGAGTTGTACAACTTCCTTCAGCCAGGCCCCAGCAGATGAATTCAAAGGTTCCTTCTAGGAAACTGTCCCTGCCTGGGCGGGACAGAGGCCTTGGTGCTGGGCTGGGCTGGGCTGAGCACGGCACCCTGTCCACAGGTTTGTACGCACCTCGCCACAGCAGTGTGGAGAGGCCTTGGGAGCCAGGCCAGCATGGTGGAGTTTGCTCCCTTGTCCGTGCCTTGGGAGCGCAGGCTGCAGACACTGGCGGTCCTACAGTGGGTCTTCTCCTTCTTGGCCCTGGGTAAGTCGGGCTGGGTGAGATGGGAGACCAGGAGCAGCCACCCAGCTGCACCCAGAATGTTGGTCGTGGGAGGTTCTTGGAGGCCTCGGAGCCCTGCCCAGAGAGACTGGGCCGTGGAGTGGGGTTGCCTGTGGCTTTGAGCCGTTTTTGGCCAAGCGTTCCCCCTTGACACAAGGACACCCTGCTGCAGGCTGCTGAGGGTGTAGGAAGCATCGAGTTGATGCTAGGAAAATTCCAGACTGCTCTTTCCTTTCTGAAGGGATGAGTGAGAACTGGGGTAAGGAAGGAGAGGGGAACCAGGAACTAGGTTCTCCGGGCCTCGATTTTGTCATCTGCAGCAATGTGTGGCCCAGACACCAGCTCTGCTGAAGGGAATGTTTTCAAGGAGGGTTTGGGCCAGATGCCATGGCACACACCTGTAATCTCAGCAGCTCGGGAGGCTGAGGCAGGAGGATCATGAGTTCAAAGCCAGCCTTGGCAGTTTAGTGAGGCCCTAAGCAACTCATGGAAACCCTGTCTCTAAATAAAATATAAAAGGGTTGGGGATGTGGCTCAGTGATTAAGCACCTCTGGGTTCAATCCCCAGTACAAAAAAAAAAAAAAAAAAAAAAAGGAGGGTTTGGGGCAGTGTTGGGAGGTGGAAATGAATGAATGGGTTTCTTCATTTCATCTGCTGGCACCGGACTAGGGAAGAACTGTTCCCCCTGGGTCTAGGGTTCAGCCTGTGCTCTCTCCTGGTTGCTAAAATGTGGTCAGTGGCCTTTTAACACATAATATATGTGCCCACCCCACACTTCCTCAGAATTTCTTTGTGGTTTCACAGCCAAAGAACTTATCCCCAGCAAGGCAGGCTCTCCTGGACCCTACGTTAGCATCCTTTCTAATTGACATGGGTTTCTGCCCTAAGGGTTGATAAACACGTTACACAGACTTGGTTATTTCCACTACGTAGATGAGCAGAGAAAGTACCTTACAGGCCCAGGCTGCAGAGCCAGAGTCCTGGGCTCCTCCTGCCAGAGAAAGGGCTGAGGAGGTAGAAGAGGGGAGAGGGGCTGGGGTGGGAGGAGGTGGGAGCCACAGTCAGTAAGAGAGCAGAAGGAGGGAGGCCTAAGCTGTCAAGTCCAAGGGCTCTGGGGACCCAGTGCCAGGTGACTGTAGCCAACAGATCACAGAAGACGAGGGTCACCATGCCCAGCCTGCCTCCTGTTATCTTTTAGGGCAAGAGTGCTTCCAGCTGGCCATGCCCACCCCACCCTGCAGCCCTGTGGCCCTGCCTGGCTCCTTCACTATCACAGGAAACTGGAAGGTCAGGAGCAGCGTAGGGGTCAAAGCAGCCCTGGACCTGGAGGGCCAGAGGGAGGACAGCTGAAAAAAAGGATCTGGGCTCATTTGTGCCAAGAACAGGAGGTTTTGCCTTATCCCTTAACCTGAGGGCAAAGGAGAGCTGAGGAAGTTTCAGGTAGTGGAGTGACAAGGTCCAGCCTGGGTGTTAAAGGTCCCTGTGCCTGCCGTCGATGTGTCTGCTGTGCTGGGGGTGTGGGGAAGGGACCAAACGCAGGAGCATTCTGTCTAGATCAGAAGTCACCAAATTAGGGCCCATGGGCCACATCCAGCCTCCTCGTTTTGTTCAGTCCAAGGGTTCAGAATGGTTTTTATATTTTTTAAAGGCTACATTTAAAAATAGCTGCTTAAACACATGCATAATATCCTCCAATCTGCCCCTTAAACTGCAAAGTCTAAAATATTTGCCATCTGAACCCTTAAGAAAAAGTCTGAAAAGGGTGGCAGTGGGTGGAGAGAAGGTTTGGGGTCAGGRGATATTCAGGAGATGGGCTCCTGGGCAGGAGCAGAAGGAATGGACGGGTGGAGGGAGAAGGCCAAGTTGATGCCCAGTCTCACCCACGTTTGGCTGGCTGTCGTCACTGAACTTGGGCACTCAGGAGCAGGCTTGAGAGATTAGGAGTTCAGTCCTGAATGTCACTGTCCTTGAGGGGCTGTGGAGCCTGGAGCCAAGAAGTCACCTGTGAGCAGGGGGATGAGAGTGTAAGGTCAGGCAGCAGCGACCAACAGGAGGCAGATTTTAAAAGGCTCTGAATGAGGCTTTATTGAGATTTTGCTCCCTGGTGGGACCCTCAGACCAGCAGAGTAGGTCCAAGGAGAAGTGCATGGGGCTGGAATTTTTATTGGGCTTAGGGCAGGAAGGGAGGGCTTGGGACAGGAAAAGGGGTTTTTAGAGTCCTTTGTCCTACTGGGGTTGGTTGGGGGTAGCTGGCTAAGATCCAGGATTGGCCAGGAGACCCTGCTGATTGACAGGCAGTTCTGTGGGCGCCTGATTGGTGGTTCTTTGGCGCGCATGGGTGGGTGGCTTAATCACCTCAAACGGATCTAACAGAGGGAACAGAGTGGCAGGGGTGGTGACAAGCAGAGGTAGCACTTCAGGCAGCCACTATTTTTTGTTTGTTTGGTACCAGGAATTGAACCCAGGGGTGCTCAACCACTGAGCCATGCCCCCAGCCCTTTTTATTTATTTATTTTTTTTAACTTAGAGTCAGGGGGTCTTGCTACGTTGCTGAGGCTGCCTTTGAATTTACAATCCTCCTGCCTCACTCTCCCAAGCTGAGGTTTTAAAGAACACTAAGGTTTCAAAGACTGGTAGGAAAATCAAGCCCCCCAGGCAGGGAGCCCCCTGTGCAGAGCGGAGGAGGAATAAGGGACCTTGTACACAGTTCATGCTGGAGGTCACGGACACATTTGGCAAAGTGGCACAGARGTGGCTGGAAAAGTCAACTAGGACCACTCACCAAAGGCTCAGGGCCCSAAGTCAAATGCGTTCTTGGGTGACTTGTTTGCTGGCTGTGTCCTTTCCCCTCCTCCACAACTCCCACCTCTTACATGAGAAAGGAAGGTGTTTCTTCACAGCYTGTGCTGTTCTTGGCTATGGCTACAGCTCCTTGAAGAGTCCTGAATGAGGAATGCTGGGAGCATGATCTGGTCCAAGCAGCAGGACTGAATCCCAGGTCCCCCCTTACTAGTATGCTGTGTGACCTGAGCCAATTTGTAGACCCTCTCTGTGGTACTGAAAGCTCTGTTCTTGTCCCCGATGCCAATCCAATAACAAGGACATAGTTTTGAGAAAAAAGAAGTTTTATTATTGCGTTGCTGGCAAAGGAGAAGCACAGGAGACTCCTGTCCCAGAGGCTGTGATTCTGCCCATCAGGGGAACAGGGGGCTCTTAAAGAGGTGTATCAAAGGTCACATTCCACATTTCTTTTTGGAGTTGTCATTCACTTGTTCGTTTGGGAGATAGTCATTTCTGGTGTCACCCCCAACTCTCTGAGTTACTTGTTTCAGTGATATGTGCTCAAGGACAGATAACTCTGCCTAGGATGGGGAAGAAAGGTAATCCTGTTTCCCTGAGATTAGGGAGGGGGAGCAGTTAGGGAAGAGCAGGCAGAAAGGGAGAGGAAGAAACAGGTCATTTTCAAAATAAATCCATCGCACCAGGCGCAGTTGTGCAGCCTGTAATCCCAGTGGCTCGGAGGCTGCGACAAGAGGATCATGAGTTCAAAACCAACCTCAGCAATGGCAAGGCGCTAAGCAACTCAGTGAGACCCTGTCTCTAAATAAAATACAAAATAGGGCTGGGGATGTGGCTCAGTGGTCCAGTGCCCCTGAGTTCMATCCCTGGTACCCACTCCCCCCACCCCCCAAAAAAGTCACATGGCAGAGCAGCAAGGGCTATACTCAAAACATAAAGTGGACCACTGTCACATCCAGGCCTTAAAGTGGGCATTTTAAGTGTTTCCCCYTCAGGTCATGAGGATTATGTGAAAGAAGGTGGTGTCTTCCTTCCTAAATTACTGAAAAGACCCACAGACTGGGTTTGCTTCTTAACAGGGGTTAAAGGGTGAGCCCATGGTCGAGGCATAATGCAGTGGTGGGAGTCATTCTGGTCAGGGTAGATACCCTGTTTTCTTCTAACTTTTCCTTTTTTTCCTCCTGACTTCAAAAATAATACATATTACTGTAACACATTCAAACAAAACATGGGCCCTTAAAGTAAAAGGCTTCCAGCCAGTCATGGTGGCGCACTTCTGTAATCCCAGCGWCTCGGAGGCTAGGAGGATCTAAGTGGAGGGCCCTTGAGTTCARTCCCCAGCACCCCACCCACACCCTGCCCAAAGACTTCCCATACTCTTGCCTCCAGGTAGCCACTATTAACAATTCATCTTTATTTTCCAGAGCTCCTTTTCTTAAAGAAGCTCATGAACAGACTTTTGGTTTTGCCCAAGGGAAGAATCCTAGCTGGGAGTTTAAAATTATTTTTACTTTTATAGTAAATATTTTTAATGTAAAAATTAAAAACAATTTAAGTCAATCTCCTTTCTTTTTTGAATTCAGGGGCACTCTACCATTGAGCCACATCCCCAGCCCTATTTTGTATTTTATTTAGAGACTGGGTCTCACCGAGTCACTTAAGGCCTCTCTAAATTGCTGAGGCTGACCTTGAACTCAAGGTTCTCCTGGGATTACAGACATGTGCCACCACTCCGGTAGCGAATTATTCAATAGTGTTTGAAAACAAAGAGCAAATGTGGAAGCAACCCTATGTCCATGAACAGATAAATGAATAAACAAAATAGAATATTATTCAGCCTTAAAAAGAAAGGAGATTCAGACACATCCACAACTTGAATGAACTGCAAACATTACGCCCAATAAAATAAGCCAGTCACAAAAGCCAAACGCTGTGGGATCTTACTTATGTGAAGTACCCAGCGTAGTCAACATTTCAGAGAATAGAAGGCTGGTTGCTTGGGTCTGGAGGGAGGGGCAGTGGGAATGTCTACTGGGGTGATAAATAAGTTCTGTGATTGATAGTGGAACTGGCTGCACAGGGTATAAAGGTCCTTAATGCCACTGAATTGTTCAGATGGTAATTCATGTCATGTGTGTTACTAGAGCAAAAAAATTTAAAGGAAAACATGTATTCAAAGTGCCCCAAACACAACTCTAGAAAGTCAGCTTTCTGACGGCCAGAAGTCATCCATTGCTCACAGCTGGACCCCAGCACCTGGCACTTTGTAGGTGCTCCATGCAGAGTGAATATTTGTTGTCTGCATCTGCTGGCTACCAAACTTTTCCTACTGTTCAAACTGGCTCAAGAGTCCCTTCCTCCAGGAAGTCTGGCAGGATGGGCAGGCCCAGTCCACCCTACTTCCAAGAGGAGTTATACAACCAGAAGCTGGCCTCCTTTAAGAACACGAGTGTAGGGCTGGGGATGTGGCTCAAGCGGTAGCGCGCTCGACAGGCATGCGCGCAGCCCGGGTTCGATCCTCAGCACCACATACCAACAAAGATGTTGTGTCCACCTAAAACTAAAAAAAATAAATAAATATTAAAAAAAAAAAAGAACATGAGTGTAGGGACTGAGGCTGAGGCTCAGTGGCAGAGCACTGGCCTGGTGTGCATGAGACTCAGAGTTCCAACTCGAGCCCTGCCAGAGAGAAGAAAGAGGAGGAGATGAGTGTGTGGAGAAAATGGAATGCAGAGGAAGTGGTATTCTCTGGGAATGATGCTTCATTGGCGTCAGATGAGGGGTGGTCCTAAAGACCTCCTGACCCTGAGGTGAAGCCARGTTTAGCCTGCAGTGGGGATGGGGAACTGCACATCAGAGGGGTTTCCACACTGGGCCTGGTCCTGGCCCCGCTGCACGCACAGGGTGGTCAGGGGTTGGCCTCTTCCTGCCTCCCCACTCCTCGCCAAGGGCTTTGGAGGCGAGGTCAATGGAGCTTGGAGGGTTGAGGAAGAGCAAGCGTTGGGACTGCGTATTGGGAGAGGGGAGGGAGGAGCAGAAGGAGACGGGCCAGCTCCTGGGAGCCTGATGCCAGGCTGAGCTGCTTGGGCTGTGCCCTGAAGTTGTGCGGAARCCACAGGAGGGCTCTTTTCATAAGAGAAGCGAGGGACCCCGACACACTTACCTTTGGAAAGATGAAGCAGAGGGTGAACAGAAGGGGGAATGGGCAGAAAGGGGTCTCCTTTTCCTCTGGGATCCTCAAACATAGAAACTAGAACCCTTGTTGCAATCAGCGGCTCCCATTTTTTGAGCACCAGGGAGATGGCAGGGGTCAGGCCGCCTGGGGCAGCAGGGCTCAGCCTGGGTGTCTCACCTGCCTGCCTTCCTTCCCAGCCCAGGTCTGCGTGGTCATCTTCATAGGCCTCCTCTTCACAAGGTTCTGGCTCCTCTCCATCCTGTATGCCACCTGGTGGTACCTGGACTGGGACAAGCCGTGGCGGGGCGGCAGGCCCATCCAGACCTTCAGGCGCTGGGCCATATGGAAGCACATGAAGGACTATTTCCCCGTCTCGGTGAGTTCTGGGGCTGCTTTGGGGGGGATGGGGGGAGAAGCTGGCTGAGTGGGGTCAGGGCCCCAGTGCCTCACGTCTCTGTGGGGGCAGTGCARCCCCGTGTGCATTGTTCAGGATGCTGGACCGGAAGGCCCAGGCCTGGGTCCCCCGCCACCCAGAGACCTGGAGAAGAGACCAGCTCCTCTCTAGCTGTGGCTTTCCATTTACAGGGACGTGGGGCCAGCGCGAGGTTGATGAACATACAGGACTTGAAGGAGCTCTATGGGATATGTACTGTGTCCCTCATGTGGACCTTCAGGGAGCAATCCCATCAGCAGCCCAGTTTAAAATAAAGTTAACAAACTATGGGTCTTAAGAGACCAGCTAGCCCTACAGTCACACTCTGCCAACTAGAGAAGGACACCGGTGTGACCAAGGTCGGTCAGTCAGTTGTCAACGAATTTTAAAGCTTTGCATTGGTATGGATAAGAAAGGGTATCAGGAAGAGAGCTCTGAACCGTCCTCAGGTTCTAACCTGCTCCTACTTCTGCCAAGCTGTGTGTCCTTGGACAAGGCCTTGTCCCACTCTGAGCCTCTGAGCCTTGGTTTCCCATGGATCCAGTAAGCCAACTGATCTTCCTGCTCTGAGTGCCTTCATGTCTCTCTCTCTCTCTCTCTCTCTCTCTCTCTCTCTCTCTCTCTCTCTCTCTCTCCTCTCTCTGGTTCATGACACCTCACAGTGATTGTGAACACTTGGCCCTGGACTTGAAGATTGGCCCTGAGTGGACCAGATCTCTAGATCTGAAAAGACCTGTAGGTTCCTTCAACTGAGCCCAGAAAAACTAAACTTGTGGTCTACGCAGCCAGGCAGAGACAGTTTATTGAACAGATGGGATAGGATAGAGGAAGGTAATGGGGACACAGGAGGGTAGGCAGGGCTAATTGGCCTGAAAACAGGAGAGAAGGCAGGTGTGGAGTGTGGTCTTTAGAGTTGGTTGGAGTAGATTCTAATCCCAGGTCTGCCACATAGCAGATGTGTGACATTGGGTGAGTTACACATTTTCTCAGAGCCTCACTCTCTGCCTATGTAAAATGGAGATGATGTCACATACTGGGCCTTGTGGATTCCATGAGACCAGGCAGGCCAGCTCTCATAGGTTCTCAGAACCTCAAGACTCAGCGGGAGACCTGGGCATGGCTTCAGGTCCAAGGGACTCAGAACCCAGAGCCCTGGGGCTCTGACCTTCATACCTGCCTGGCTTCTCCATCCCATCCAGGAGCCCCACCACTTCCTGCCCCTCCAGGAATTGGATCTCCAGGTAGCAAAAGAGGGGAGGTGGAGGAAATAGGCCTGCAGAGGCTGAATGGCTTGCTGAAGTCATGGGAACTCAAAGTCAGGGATCCTACCTTTTTTCCCTCTGAGATTCCTGAGGTCCCCTGGAGCTAGAAAGGGCTGGGCTACAACAGGGAGCAGGGCCTGTCAGGTATAGGGTCAGTGTGGGTAGGGCTGAGCTGAAGTGGGCTGGCAGAGGCTGCCATGCCCATGAGGGCCACTGGAGTCAAAGGGCAGAACATGTGGGCTAGCAGACTCGGGTGGGAGGCAATCTTCTCCACCCCTTAGATGTGTTTTCTCTGCAGGGCCCCCTTCCAGGATCTTGTCAGCAAAGACAAGCAAGGCTTGTGGGGTCTGGAGAGCAGCCATGGGTACTTTGTGGCGGAATCCCCATCCCTTCCCCAGGACTTCTGAGCTCTGAGGTTCTGAACTCCCTTCTCTAGCCCCAGGCTCCTTCTTTTGAACCAGGAAATTCAGAGCTCTCCTGGGGAAGTGTGACCTGTAGCCTGGGGAGGTATAGGTGACATCAGGTYACCTGCAGCAGGTTCTAGCCCCTAGTTGAGCTTTGCAGGTCCTGACCCTGGCCTCTCGTCCCATGTGTGCTGGATCCTCACACACCAGGAAAAGAAAGGCCACCTACAAAGGGGGTGGTGCAAGCACAGACCCAGAAGCCTCAGGGTTGTGAGCAGTAGCCTGGGGTTCCAGGAGAATAAAGCAGAGTACACCTGTGGGGAGGCTGGAGAGGAGCTTGGGTCACTGCAGAGGCCTTAGAGGCCACCCTGCAGAATTGGAAAACCGGAAGTTCTCTGGGGAATGTCTTCTGACAGCCTACTGGCCTCCAAAGGATAGYGTCAAGCTTCTCTGTCCCTGGCGTACTTCCTGCTGCAGGTTGGCAGAGGCGATGCTGAGGCAGCTCCACTGCCTTTCTTGCTCCTTCCCTCCTTGGTGGCTCTCAAGGAGGGTTTCTCAACCTCACTACTATCAGCACTGGATGGACTTGATTTGCAGAAATTCTATGTGCACAGTTTTTCAGGCTTGTTGCACACTGAAGGCCCTTTGCTGCAGTACCAYGAGTGGCCAGCAGAGGGAGAGATGCTGTTCGTTTCTGTTTTGTGGCTCCTAGGCTGGGAGCTGCAGACTCCCCCTTCTTTCTGCACACCTGGGCAGYAAGGCCCTGCAGAGACCCTGGAGTGAGCAAAAGGCAGGCTGTCCTGGCTTTACTGAGCTCTCCCTGCATTCACAAGCCTCCTCACTCTCTTGTGGAATGTGAGGTCCTTCCATGATTTCTCAGCTTCGGTCAGTTCTCCCTTTGTCTTTATGAACTAGCCTCTAGTGATGAACTTTCAGGCAAAATTAGAAAACTGTGCCTTGGCCTTGAAGCTTTCCGAAGTCATCCTGTTGGCTTTCTACAGAGACAATGCAGGAGAGTCAGGCCATTCATGTAGGAGTCAGGCCATTCATGTAGCTGTCCCCACCTCATGCTAAGACTGGCCCAGGAGCTGGGTGTCCCCCACTGTGAATGTTTCATCACCCAGAGTAAATAGTCTAGGCAGGCCAAGGCCTTGGGAGGGACCAAGTTCTGTGGCCAGGGCTATGACCTAGGGTCATGAAATACTGCCCACAATGTACTTGCTGGTCATGATCCGAACCAGGCTGGGGACAGTGTAGGACAACTCCCCACCCATACCCATACCTGGGACAAGCCCTTAGTTCCCCTGTAGCCCACCAGGCATTACTAGGGACTTAGTGGCCTCTCCTTCCTGTCTGCCACATCTTGGTACACTGGGGTCTGTTCACCTGAGACAGTGGGGCTTTCACATAACAGGAACTCTAGCTTACAGGAGAAGGGGGAGGGGGAAAGGGCAACATTTGATTTATTTTCCAACCAGACCCCACCTTCCCGATCAGACCTGATTATTTATTATCAATATTGACTGTCTTTTTGAACCCTGGCTTCACTGAGATGCCTGTAAGGAGGTGTTTCTTCAAGGGAAGCTGGGTCTGGCTCCAGTGTTCTCCCAGGAGTCCAGGGCAAGGGGAACTAGCATGGGGCATAGCTGTTCCCCAGCCCTAGGGCTGCCCTGCAGGGAACTGGGCCTCCTACACTGTCCCCTTCCGCTCCCAGCCAGGTAGATCTCTGGGAGGCTTGCTGAACCCCAACAGCATCAACATTTGGATTGGTTAATTTGTGTGTGTGTGGGGGGGGGGAAACTGTTCCTATCCCTGGCATCTACGCACTCAATGTCAGAAGTACTACCCTCTCCCARTGGTAAAACCCAAACTGTCTGCAGACATTACCAGATGTCCACATCAAGAGAGCAGGAGGTGGCAAACTCACCTTAGCTGAGAACCACTGATCTAGAGCATGGGGTCTGGGTCCTACACTCCTGTTCTGACTCTTCCCTCCTCCCCTCTACCCACAGTCCTGACCACAGCTATCTTTTTGTCTAGGTTCCACGTTCTCTGGCGCCCCCTGGAGTTCATCCTCCACACTACCTCTTATTTAGAATAAAACCTATTTTTTTCTGCAGCCTGCAAGTACTTGYACTCTGAGCCCTTACCTGCTTCCCCTTTGTCATTCCAGTCCGGCAGACATGAGCTGTACCACTTGTTCTGGTGCCTTATTGGAGTGTCCCCCACCCTGCTGATGCCAAATAATGTGGGTACATAAGTAGGCCCTGAACAGGCTCTTCCCTCTGGGGCCCTAGAGGAGTGAGAGGTGGGCTACCGATGCAGGAAACACCTCTCCCAGGAGAGCGAGGCTGGAGTCTTGAAAATCCCAAACCAGTCATGGGCCAGCTTGCCTAGCCTGAGTAGCCCCATGGTCGACTCTATCAAGTTTGACCAGATAGTTYCAAAGTCAGTCCTCAGTGCCAGTTGTCTCCCTGGGTCTGGAATAAAGGCTTCCTGCCTCTTTGTGTTCTCTGTATAGATGGCAGAATTCAGATCCCAGTCACCTGTGTGGCTTTGTGCAGGTCACTTAACCCCTCAGCAAGCCTCTCAGCTTGCTTAACTGAGAAGTAGGGCTATCATACCACAGCCAGCCTTCCTGTGGTCGTAGTGGGTGTTAAACAAGCTAGCAGCATGGGTGCTTGCTTTTTTKTTGTTGTTGTTGTTGTTCCTGGGATTGAACTCAAGGGCACCCCAGCCCTCTTTTGTATTTTATTCAGAGACAGGGTCTCACTGAGGTGCTTAGTGAGAGTTCACTTTTACTAGGGTTGGCTTMAAAGGGTAGAAACTCAACTGTCCATCAACTGACAAATGGACAAACATGTGCTCTAGCCATGCAATGGAATRAATGTCATCCAGTCAAATGTGAAAGGAGTTCTGATACATGCTACAACATGGATAGACCTAGAAAACATGACACCAAGAGAAAGAAGCCAAGTTCAAAGTCCACCTGTTGTAAGATTCCATCTGTATGAGGTGTCCCAAACAGGTAAACTCAGAGAGGTAGAGAGCAGATTAGCAGTGCTAGGGCCCTGGGGAGAGGGAAAATGACTCCTAATGGGTATGGGTTTCTTTCTGGGGTGTTGAGAATGATCTGGAARTAGTGGTAATGCTTACACAATCTTATAAAATTGCATTGAGTTGAGAGTGGTGGTGTACACCTGTAATCCCAGCTATTCCTGAGGCTGAAGCAGGAGGATACCAAGTTTGAGGTCAGTCTAGACCACTTAGCAAGGCCCTGCCTCAAATTTTTAAAAAGTTTTAAAAAGGGGGCACTGGGGTTGTAGCTCAGTGGTAGAACACTGCTGAGTTCTATTCCCMGTACCAAAAAAAAAAAAAAAAGTGCATTGAACTGTATATTTTAATGGGATGAATATTATGATATATAAATGAAATCAATAAAAAATAGTTGGGCTGGGGATGTGGCTCAAGTGGTAGTGTGCTTGCCTGGCATGCGCGGGGCGCTGGGTTCGATCCTTAGCACCATATAAAAATAAAATAAAGATGCTATGTCTACCGAAAACTTAAAAAAAAAAAGTAAATATTAAAAAATTCTCTCTCTCTCTCTCTCTAAAAAAAAAAAAATAGCAAACTTCAAAGCTTAGGAAGCTACTGTGCCCTTTTCTAGACCCACTGCCCACTGTGCCACACCCAGCCTCAGGGCATGTAGCCAGGGTATCCCCAGACCCCCACCATCTTGCTCAGTCACAATCAATATTCCTCCAACAGAATTGAGGAAGCAAGACAAACCACAGCTCTTCACCAACTGCCTCCTCCTCTTTATTTATCTTTATTTATCTCTCTGAACCCTGTAGTAAACCTGAAGTGTCATCATTGTCCTGTGGAAGAGGATAACTGAGGCACTGAGGGGGCCAGAGCCTGGCAAAGGTCCCAGGGATGAGCCAGAGGTAAAATCCAGGCTCTTGACTCCCTGCTCAGGGTTCTCCTGACTCCATGCTAGTGGGATGCAGGTGACCTGCTGGGAYAGGATTCGAGTCAGGGCCCCTCCTTCTGAGGTGGGATATCTCAGTCTCATCTTCTTGGCTCCTTCATTCCCACCTTCCTTCCACACTTTCCAGAGCATCTCCTTTGTCCCAGACCAGCACTGGGGACACACCTTGGACACAGTGGTCTATGATCTTCAGTGAGGGCCAGGTAGACTTGGGGACAAGAGTCATGTAGAAGGGGCTAGCACAGAAAGATAAAGTAGAGACCATGTCTGAGGGAGGTACAAATTAGGCCTCATTGGGACTATGATGGCTCCACAGTGCACAAATGTGGACACATGTAGATACACATGCAAATACTGGCCTACTCGCCTGGACACAGGTCCCTACCTTTGCAAGGTTTTTCTCTATGCACAAATGCTTTCTTTTATATATTTTTTGTATAGGGATTGAATCCAGGGGCACTCAACCACTGAGCCATATTCCCAGCCCCTCATCCCCCTTTTTAAATTTAGAGACAGGGTCTCAGTGAGTTGCTTAGGGCCTCTCAAAGTTGCTGAGGCTGGTTTTGAACTCGTGAGTCTCCTGAGATGCTTGTTATAGGCATGTGCAAATGCACTGGGTTTTTGTTTGTTTGTGTTTTGTTTTTGTTTTTGTTTTTTGGTTTTGATAGATATTGTCAAATTGCCTTTATGGAGGTACAAAAATTTCTTCCCACTAGCTAAATGGAACTTCTAAGGAAATGTTTCAATGGGTTCTAGAGCAAGTGCCTTCCCAGTGAGAAAAACCAGGGTCTCTATCTTGCCATATCTACTAAATCCCCTACTTCCCAGGGGAAGAGGTTTGTCCTGGTCTAGGGAGGCCATCTTGGTGATGGTGGGGGTGGGGTTGTCAAAGCCAAGGCTAGAAGAATCTAGAGCTATTCAAGCTGGACTGGGCAGACARGATCCAGTGCTGTCTCCAGACTGCTCTGAGGGTGAGCAGCCCGGCTTCTGTGGCCCCAAAGGCAGCAATGAGAATCCTCAGGGAATTATCCCTGACCCTTTCAGCTTGGTGACAGGAAGACCATTTACCCCGGCAAAGCAGAGTCTGAGCAGAAGGAGCTGCTCTGGCCCAGGGAGTACAAATTGCAGGCTGGCAGGGAGCCTCCTGCCCTAGGCCTGGCCCCACCCTGATGGCAATGTTTCCCAGAGCCAGGTTGGGCTCCAGGGTTTTCAGTGGAGTGAGGCCAAGATTGCTAACAACCTTGGCCTCCAGCAGTAATCTCTGCAGATCCAGGTGACCAGTACAGCCTCTGTTAGCTTAGGTCCCGCCCCGTTGGTCCTCGCCCTATTTCATCAAGAAGCTTCTAAGGACAAACAGTTCTTTCTCCCTCTCCATCTACAGTGTCTGGTGGACCCTGGCACACCTTCCATGCCACAGGCCCCACCAAGGCAAGTCTCTGTCCTGGCAGGGGGAGAGAACAAAGCAGGGTGGCGGGCAGAGGAGAGAGCCACCGGGTGAGACACTTGTGCAGTACAGGGCGGCAATCCAGAACAGAGCCAGTCTAGGGGTCTGCATGCTCTTTCAACCTGACAGGAATCCACGCCTCTTACAGCTTGCGCATGCTCAGCCCCAGGTCTGAAGTGCACAGTACTGTTAGCATGAGCTTTCCAGAGTGGTGGCACCCCCATGTGGCCCTTTGATTCCTTCACATCACATCCTGTGGGCTGATTGGCGATTCTAGGAACCCTCCTCATAGCACAGCTTGTCAGCAGCCTGGCAAGGGAGAGGAGCAGAGCCAAATGTTCCTCTTTTACAGAAGAGGAGCCTGAGGAAACAGTTTAACCAAAGCCAGCCCCTTGGTATCACCAGAAATGGTCCCTCACCACAGCACAGGGCTGTCCGACTTATGAATGAAGCACTTAAGGATCAGAGAGGGGCAACGACTTACCCAAGGTCACACTAGCGTGGCAGAGTCAAGATCCGTAACAGGCCCAGCTCTAACTCACCAGGGTGCTGTCCCTGCAGCTGGTCAAGACCGCTGAGCTGGACCCCTCCAAGAACTACATTGCGGGCTTCCATCCCCATGGAGTCCTGGCAGCCGGAGCCTTTATCAACCTGTGCACTGAGAGCACGGGCTTCTCCTCGCTCTTCCCGGGCATCCGCCCCCATCTGATGATGCTGAACCTGTGGTTCCGGGCCCCCTTCTTCAGAGATTACATCATGTCTGGGGGTGAGTCTTCCTGCTCCAGGTAGCTCAGGAACATAAGATTGGTGCTTCAGGTGGGGGGACTTTAGGTAGGGCTTCCAAAATCTCTGTATTTCTTCTAAAAACATGCACAGGAGGAGAAGGTGGCTAGACCCAAAGGAACTTCCTGCAGTGCTGTGCTGATCACTGAGCCCAGTGAGGAGGTTGGGAAGAAGGAGAGGACTCAGGGGACTCCCAGCTGGATCCCAGGCCTCTGTGGGCACTGCTGGTGGTCTTTCTCTTGGGCACACCGCCCCCTCACAGTCCCTGTCCCCTCACCMCACACCTGACCACCCTCCTCTCTCCCCAGGGCTGGTCACGTCAGATAAGGAGAGCGCTGCTTACATTCTGAACAAGAAGGGCAACGGGAACCTGCTGGCCATCATTGTGGGGGGCTCCCAGGAGGCACTGGATGCCAGGCCTGGGGCCTTCACGCTGCTACTGCGGAATCGAAAGGGCTTTGTCAGGCAGGCCCTGATACATGGGTATGGATGGGGCTCTGGGGACTGCACTCAGTTCAGTCTGAAGTTGGCAAGGATGATATTTTGGTGGGGAGGCAAGAAAGACTAACCAGATTCTATGTTAGCAGAGAGCTTCTCAGTTCATTCACAATGAAGATTATCTTTTTAATGATTCATGCCCAAATTCCTGGAAGAGTTTCCATTTTTCCAGTGAAATTCGATGGCTGATGGACATAGTTCAAGGTGGGAGTGGACATCTTCCCCAACGCCGGCAGGAGAGCTGAGACCTATGGGATCTGAAAGAATGGGGATAGGAGCATATGGAAGAGACATTCTCCCACCTTGGGGGAAGCTTCTGGGAGGAAAGGAGCCAACTGGCGTGGGGAGAGTTTTCTAGGAGAGAATGCAGGTGTTTTCTGTCTGGGAGGACTCTCTGCAGCACTCTGTCCACACATCACGGAGCAACCAAGGTCAGAGAGGGAGCCATGGCAGGTCTAGGAGGCAATCCAAGCCTCCTACTTCTAGCCCAAGGCTGGATCCTCTGCTCCTGTTCTTAGTCATGGAGTCCCTGCAAGAAGCCCAGTGAACTTTCCACTCCTGTTTTTTTCTGGAGCCTCCCACAGACCTCTTCTGTTTCCCTCCAGGGCAGCTCTAGTGCCGATCTTCTCCTTTGGGGAGAATAACCTATTTGACCAGGTGCAGAACTCTTCTGGCTCCTGTTTGCGCCGAGTCCAGAATCGGCTGCAGAAGATCATGGGCATCTCCCTCCCCCTCTTCCACGGCCGCGGCATCTTCCAGTACAGCTTTGGTTTCCTGCCCTACCGCCAGCCCATCACCACCATCGGTAAGACCAGAGCCAGTCTGCGAGAGGGAGGTTACAGGAACAGGGACCTGGCCAGGGGACATGGAGGTGGGCCAGGTACATCCCTTCCCTCATGGGGCTCACCTTCTAGATTGGGAGGCACAGACATTGGCAGATGGCCCTAATATAAGGCAKTCTGGGATAAGGGCTGTGACACTGACATAAAGAACAGTCACTACTGGCTGCTGAGCACCTGCCGTGTGCCCGGCACTACGCAGCTGACTTCTGTACAACAGCTCAAATTATTCTAGCATCCTTTGAGGCAGGGTTATTGTATATTTCACTGATGATAAACTGAGGGCCAGAGAAGTTAAATAACTGCTTTTGAGTAACAAAGTTGAAGTTTGAATCAGGAGGATTTAATTCTGACTCAGAGGATCTGGTGAGGATTATTTGGAAAGGTAGATACCGGGGAAGGGCACTCTGCTTATGCTAAAATTGTGTGCAAAGTAGAAATCACTAGGCTCTGAATTAGAGCGTAAGGTATCTTCCCGCAAGAAATGGAATTGAAATTTAATTCATAGACTTAACACCATCTTTTCAGCTATCCAGACACTTTTTGTTTTCTTCTTGTATTCCAAGTAGGTTCCTCTGACAAAATCTGTAGAGAGGTCCATTCATCTCATCTCCATCCATCATTTGTTAGTTGAACAGACTTGGTAAATCCCTATATTTGGAAACTTCCTGTGTCATGTGGCAATATTTTCATGAGTTTTAATACTTTTGCTGCCTTCAGAGCTGTTGTCAAGAGGAGAGGGTTGGGGAGCTGCTTTCTCAGCCAGACAGAACCAGAGGAAGAGGGCTAGTTAATAGCCTTCCTGATTCTTCTCTGTGATAAGGAGTGAAGTGCGGGTCAGCTTGTGGGGCAGTAAGGGAAGAAAAGCTGCCTGGGCTGCGAACCCCCTTGTCCCAGCAATATGGCACTTCTGACTGTAGCATCCTGGGCTTCGGGAATCATATAGCCTGGAAGGGAAGAGCACACACCCAGGACTTAAAACCTGGTACTGACTCTTCCTAGCTATGTGACCTTGAACAAGTTAGTTAACTTCTCAGAGCCTCAATGCCTCACCTGTTAAATAGGAATATTGATAGGTTTTGCTCCCATAGGATTAAAGGGAAGAACACATGTAGAACACCTAGCACATTTCCTGGCACGTTGACACCTGTCTGTTGATAGATTTTTATCAGAATGTTAGAGTTGCCCTACCACTTAGAATCCATTTCCTGAAGTTGGGTTTGGAAGGGGTAGCTGAAGGCACTCTCCTGCAGCATGACAGTGGGGCTGGGCACCTGCTCCAAGGGCCTCTGCCACCCCAGTGGTTCCCACTCTGCTCCTCTGCCACCTGTGTGTCTTGCAGTGGGAAAGCCCATCGAGGTGCAGAAGATACTGAGGCCCTCAGAGGAGGAGGTGGACCAGCTCCACCAGTGCTATATCAATGAGCTATGCAACCTCTTTGAGGCCCACAAGTCCAAGTTCAACATCCCTGCTGACCAACACTTGGAGTTCTGTTGAACACCTCCAGCCAGGAGGGAGGTTGCTCCCAGGGCAAACCAGTATTTGGGAGCCCAGCCAGAGTGCTGGAACCTGAGGAGGCATCCTACATGTGTTTTGAACACATCTCCAGAGCTTCCCCAGACTTCTACAAGYCCAACCACAGCTGGCAACGTGGAAGAGGAGACCAGACTGAAATCTGTGATTTGCACTCCTACAGCCAAACTCTGCCAGTCTCCCTCTCCTTGGCCTCTGGATGCTCATCTATGAAACGTGAGAGAGAACTGGAAGAAAATGACTCCTGAGGGCTCTGTCCTCTCCTGTAATGTCACTCAAAGATTACAAAAGAGCATGTAGGAAAAAAGAGAGTAACGAGGCTTTTCTTCCTCTACGCTTGAGTAACAGCACAAAAGAAGCTCCCAGCTCCAGCCCTTTCCCCTACCTGCCCCCTTGTATCACACTCTGGATGTCCCTCCCTCCCCCAGCTGGAGAGAAGGTGGTGGGCAGTGAGTCCCTGCACTCACCCAATGCACCTTCAAATTTCTGGACCCTCTGAGCTGTGGAGTGGCAGCCAGAGGTTATTGGAAGGTGGGCAAAGAGAATTCCACTGTCACTGACTGACTGTGATTGGGGGCAGGCCTCTTCCCTCCCCCCACCCTCTGAGCCTCAGTTTCCCCAAATAAGATGACCTTTGAGTCTTGGTTTTGACATCACATAATTTGAGAACTCCAGGAGGACTCCTCTTGCTCATTCTTTGTAACTTCAGACCTTGGCACAAAAGGAGGGGTTTCAATAAACGAAAGCATTCTATTTTACCCCCCCCTTTTTTTTCTTTCCTGCCTGCCCCTGCACCTACCCTCATCAAGGATACAGGTCAAAGCTTTTGACCCTCAGCTAGGCCCTGTGGCCCTGTGACCCTGACCCATCTTCCCAAGACCTGGATTACTCTGGTCCACAGAAGACCATGTTCTTTCCTGACCCATCACCTAAGTTAATCACCTCTGGTCCTATTCTTTTAGGAAATAGGGGAAAACAATATGTCTMTGGCCAGCTGACTCAGAGAACAAAAACCAGGTGTGGGGTGTGTGAGACTGCATGTGTCTGGGGGAGAGTGATGTCCTGACCAGGAGAATTCTGGATTCCTGGGTCAGGGACATGCATCAGAAGGATGGCCAGGAGGCATGAGGCCCCCTCCCCTCTAGCAAAGAAGCAGACCCTTCCCTCCAAGAGCAGATCCCTGTAACCTGGGGGTGGGCATTTGGAGAAGTATAATTTGGGGTTCCAATCTGAGAAAAATCACATCCAAGCCTCAAATTTGTCATCTGACAAATAAAGACTACATCTCCCTCTATTGCTGTGGTTCCCAAGTCAATGAGCCACTCCATGTCCTTATGGAATGATGCAGTGTACATGCCATGCAGCAGTCAGGTGACTCCAGGGTCTCATGAAGGGGCCTGGTACCATGCTATTTGGCATACGGGTCACAATAGTATTGGGAATAAGGAGCAGAAGGGATTGATAACTTCCAGCCCAGGGAAAACTTTGGAGAAAGTGGCCATGAGCCAGGCCTGGAAGGAAGGGCAAGAGTCTCAAAGGAGATACACAGTGGCCTGCTGCTGGGTCGTGAACCACTTCCAAACGTACTGGCTGAAGACTGCAAGGTTTCATTATTTTCACAATTCTGTGGGTTTGCAGAATTTGGGGGGTTCTTAGGTCTTTCTTGGGCCGCCATGTTGCATTCAGCCAGTGGGTCAGAGGGAGCTGGGACAGCTAGGGTGCTGAGACAGCAGGGCCTCTCTTTGCATGTGGGGGACACTGGCCTGTCTCTATCCTGACTGGTCTTTAAGGATTTGAGAGTGGCTGGATTCCAAAAAAATGACAGCCACAGCTGCGAGCACTCAAGCCCTGGGCCACACAACTTGCAGAGTCACTTCCACTGGTCCATTGGTGGGAGCAAGGCAGGAGGCCAGGGGCGAGGAATAGGCTCCACCTCGGGATGGGAGGTGCTGCAATGTCACAGTACAAAAGGCAGGGACACAGAGAGGGTTCTACAGGCCATCTTTGCAATTGACCAAAAATTTAGAAGTGTCCTCCCCCATCCCCAACTCTGTCTCTCTCCCATTCCCCGTCTGGCCTTGATAAAGCCAACAGCCCCAGCTCAACCTTGCCTCTCTGCCCTGTCTCCATTTCTCTGTCCCCCACCCACCCACATGCACAGCCATGGTGGGCTTTCAAAAACACAAATCTTGGCACTGGAGTCCCAGGCCAGAGGTGAAACCCGGAGGTCCCAACAAATCAGATCCAGTTACTTGTCCCAGAATGAAACAGAAAAAGTAACAGTGAAAAGCAGGAAAGGAACCTTAATCATGGTTCTTTGGGGAAAGCAAAGTGAGAGCAAGTGTCTCAGCCCTGTCTTCAAGGTACTGACATGAGCTCCAGATTACACAGACAAGAAGATTAGAYTTAGTCAAACTGGGCTTTAGTTGATCATTACCTCAGAATTGGCCAGGTGGGGCCTTGTCAGAGATAAGAAAGTTGCTGTTGCCTGGAGGTGGTTTGACTTCTCACAAGATGTTTATCAATTAGACCTGTTGTTCTGGAATCCAAAGCAATTTTGAACAAAGGAGACCGATGCAAAAGAGATGCCAACTTTTTTTTTTTTTTTTAAATACCAGGAATTGAACCCTAGTACATTTAACCACTGAGCCACATTCCCCAGCTCTTTTTAAAATATATTTTATTTAGAGACAGGGTCTTGCTGATTTGTTTAGGGCCTTGCAAAGTTGCTGAGGCTGGCTTTGAACATGTGAGCCTCTGGAATTACAGGCCAATTTTTAAATCCTGTTACCTGTTGGACATTTGCAGGCAAAAGTTGAAGAGTCTAAGTCCCTGTTAGAAGTCAGCCACATTGTTTCCCTGCTCAAAGTCCTGTGGCTCCCCATGGCTGCTAGGCTAGGGTTTGTACCAGTCCCATGTCAGCAAGAACCAGAAGATAATTTGAGGAGGGTGTCATTAAGAAAGAATTTCCTGAGAATGGTGACATAAGTCAGGGCCATGGTGGTGGAGCACTGTTACTGCCCTGAGGCCTGGAAGGACAAACACAGCAGGCATCTCAATCTAGAGAAGTCATGCCCATGTGCCATCCTTGCTAAAGGAGCACAAGCAGTTTTTGGTGCCCCTGCAGGGAAGGAGCCAAGAACATGCACCTCACTGTCTTCCCCAGAGCCCACCCCACTCTTCCCTCTATCCTATCTCCTGCCAAGTTCCCCATTGCCTGAACCCAACTGGAAGCTAGAGGGAAGGAGGACCTGTGGCTGCAGTCCAGAGCCAGGCGGAGAGTAGACTAGAGGGATCAATGGAAGACAGAAGATGTCCACCTGAAGCCTAAGCTTCTTAGCCTACCATTGGTCATTCCCCACCATCTGGCCCAATTTCCTTCATCCTTGTCTCTCTCTCTTCCTTATCCCTAGGCTCCCATCACACTGAACCATTTTCAGGCCCATGTACCATTTCCTCTCCTGGCTTTAGCTCACACTGTTCCATTAATCTGGAATGCCATCTTCTCCCACCCCATCACTTCTGCCTTGCCTGGGGAATTCCTCCTCATCATCACACTGATTTCATCTATTCAAGGGAGTCTTCTCTAAGTCCCTGATGGAGAGGTGTTTCCTCTGTCTTCCCTAGAGCTTCCCTTCCTCTGCCATAACACTAAGTACCCTGGGAAGCACTATGCACAGATACCTCTGCCTGTGGTCACTTCCACYTGCCTAGCCTCAAACAGCACCTGTGTCCTCTCAAACAAAACCAAACTTCATAAGACACTCTTAATGCTGGGGGTAGTGCCTAAACTCCCGCCCAGGGTGGCATTCCAGGCCCTTTATCATCTGCCCTAGACCTAGCCAGCCTCACCTGGGCCTTCTCCCTGCCACCTACCACCCCTGCCCTTCACTGTGCTCTGGGTGCACACAGCGCCCACATTTGCTGGGCTTGGGCACACTCCTCCCTTTCTTCTGAATTCTTGACCTGGTCAATGTCCCATGTCCCTCAGGTTACCTTCTTTGTGAAGTCTCAGCCCACCCCACACACCTCAAGTTGCCCTGTTCTTTGAATCAGAGCTGGTACCTTCTTATGGGCTTTGCAGGTAGAAGGACCATGGTCACTAGTGTGTGAGTGGACTTCTCTGTCTCCCAGTGGATGAGGACCCATGAGAACCAAGGCCATAGCCTTGTTGCCTTCAGTCCCCCACCCCACTCCACACAGGACCTGACGCAGGGCAGAATCCTCAGGAAGTGGGGATTGGCTGAAGAAATCCATTGTCTTCCTTTTTCTCAATCCAGTACCTGCTGGGCCTGGGGCAGGGATGAGGGAGAAAGAGCACGGGCTTTGCCATCAGAAGTGACTAAATTCATTAGCTATAGYTGTATATAATAAATCGTTTCAAAACTTAACTGCTATAAACAACAGTTCTCACAGTTGTTCACAGAGATCTGGGAGTAGCTTAGCTGGTGGTTCCGCTCAGGGGTCTCACAAGCAGCAACCAGGCTGTCCACTGGGCCTGCAGTCTGTGAGGCCTTGCTCAGGGCTGGAGGGTCYACCTCCAAGCTCACTCACATGGCTGGGGGCAGGGGGCTCTCTTCCTCTCCATGGGGCTGCCAATGACATAGTTTCTCCCAGAGCAAGTGAGTGGAAAAAGAGAAAGACCATCCTGCCTTTTATGACCTAGTCTCTGAGTCACTAGCCATGGATTGTGCCTTGGTTGGTTGGTTAGGTGTGACTCACTTGATCCAGTTCACACTCCATCTAAGGGTGTGAATACTGGGAGCTGGGTTCACTGTGGGCAGCATGGCAGACAGCTGCTGCAGTAATGGAGATGAGCTCTTGGACACTAGACCCAGCCATCTCCACCCACGTGCCAGGGTACTGGCAGAGGATACTCAAATGGGTGGGGACAACAATTTGAGCAAAGAAATGATGACCATAACAAGGTGGCTATTGATTTGAGGCTGCCAGGATAGGAAATA